GAATTATTAAACCGGGCACATGTAACCAACTGAAATAAATTGATAGCTGTTTGGTGGTGCGAGTTTTGGAGATCCTCATTCTGTCTCCGTTGGTCTCCAGGACAAAGTGTCTCTGTACCTGCGGCTGCTGGACCTGGAGTTGCAGCAAAGTCCCATGAACGAGCTGGCCATCCTGGACCTGCTGCAGAAGGGCATCGACGCCAGCAAAGACACGCAGGACAAGGTGAAGTTCTCCCAGCGACGCCTGACGTATCTCATGGACTTTGGAACCGACGTAGCCAAGTAGGTGCACTGCCCCTTGCTATGTTTCATTTTTCTGTCAGAATTGTCAATGCTTTTGAACGTTCTTTACAGTGTTTCTGCAACCCTGTTTGATCAGGACCACCTGGATGATTTGGTATGGGATTAATGTTGCCTTCGTACATGCTATCATGGACTTCCTGTGTGTGTCAGACACAATGCAAGAAAATGTGCTGTTTGTTAGTGGAACAAAATCCACATCAATTTGTGTGCATTCCGAGTTATCCCTGAGTTTCACAAATGCCTGATATTAACCACTTCCTGCCGAGGACTCCAGAATCGGAGACATATGGTGTATACGCGTGGCCGGGGTCTCTGAACTCCGACAAAGGAAACAGGGCCCTAAAACAAAAGACCGTACTCTGAACATTTTTCACTCTCAAAGTGGCGACAATCCAGCCTTGTTTTGAAACCACATACCAGGGTTTGGGGCATTGAGAGCAAGCGGATTACCGCCGGGGACAAAAACGCTCCACCACCGCAGCGATTGAGCCACACAGCACCGCTGCATGCTAATCTGGCCCCTATTGAAAAGAGGTCAGCAGTGCACTGAGCCAGGTTCATGAACAAAAGAAAGTTATATAACACCGAACAATCTGGGCTCTGTTTACAAGGCTGCAGGCCTGGCTGAAATACTCGGGCGTCAATGAAGGTCACCTGTCAAAGTAGAGTAGTTCCTAAAGATTACTTCGTGCGGCTATAAACG